TATATATATATATATATATATATATTGTATTTTTTAACCCTGAATAAAATATTGTATTGATACCCTTAAAAACACTGGTCCAGAAGATTTTCCCCTCTTTTATTAAAAAATTGTAGCTTGATAATTTCACAGATACTGAAAATATTGTTTGATAAATCCCTGATGGAAGGTACATTTCCTAGAGAGTGGAAATCATTGTTTGTTTCTCCAATCCTTAAGTCAGGAGACAAACATGATATTGTCAATTACAGACCTATCTCTATTCTAAATACAGTATCGAAACTATTCGAATCAATATAAACAGGTAAAATTAAACACTTAATCTTCCCTTACATATCAATAAGACAAGTTAGATTAATAACTGGTAGAAGCATGGAGGGAAATCTTTCTACTTCACTCAATACATCTTAGACTCATTTGAAAAGAAAATACAAGTTGATAGTATATACATTGATTTTAGTAAAGCATTTGATTCTATAAATCATCATCTTTTACCAGTTACTACAGTAATTGGACTGATGACCATAGCAGGTAAAGGGCTTGGAAAAAATTAAGCTGTCAATAAATCATTCAGTTGCTGTAGCCCACGAAAATAAAACAAAAGTGTCATCGACTTTAGTCTTGTTAGTAGAATGTAGTCCAGTTTTGTCTTGCATGCGACATGTGGTGATAAAAAGACATTGGGTGTGATATGAAATAAATAACTAAAAGCAAGATGAGTCCCAAAAGGTATGAATGCTCCGAGACATTAAAAATATTTTGATCCAATATGAAGCGGTCACTGTTATAGAGTGAGGATGTACTGTATGCAAAGAAGTGGTGCTACAATCTCAGTATCACCTCTCCTTGGAAGTTCTGTCTGCTCTGTATCATTGTAAACAAAATGGTCCAGGGAATCATTATCCCTAAACAACTCTAGTATAAATGAATAAGACATATTTTACTCCAATAAGAAATTGCTTAGGAACTTTATAGAAAATATTGTGGAGGATTCCAGTGCAAATATAATTCTAAGCTAGTTCTGTCAAGGTATGACTCGACAGAATCATGAAAGTATAATTTTCACCCTGATGTGAAATGTTAGACTTTGATGCTGCTTTGATTGAACATGTTGTTTCAGATGGAACTAAAAGGTACATGACAATTTACTGGCAAATGACCTGCAAATGGGCCAGACCTTTTCCAGAAATGTTTTCTATTAGACTATTTTTTACCAATAAAGGAATAAAGTTTTCTCTAGTCTTTTATCAATTTATGTGTTTCATCCAACCTCTCTTCCCTGTAAGGATTTAATCACCTAACTGATAAAGTACAATTCTTTTTTAACGTGAGTGATTGACAAATTCACGGACCATACAATTTACAATACATTCAAACAATAGTTAAACGAAAGTGGGTTTCATAAAGAATATGGTACTTTTATTAACATTCCTTTTCTGCTCCATCTGTTCCATGAAGACCCATCTCATCCAACTCACTAATCTTCTGCACATTATCTCACCAAACTCGCTCATTACCTACTCACCAACTCGCCTAATGTAACTCTATCTCACACCTCACACAACCCCACCTCACTCCATCTTACCCAACTTCACCTCACCCTTACCCTCACTATTTCAATTTACTCCACCCACCGTCATTCTACACCACATGACTCCACACCACTCCATTCTTCTCTACCTCAGCGTCATACTTCTTCAGTCCTTACCATTGCATTCTACACTCATCCTACCATTCTCAAACCCACTCCACTCCATCTAACACAACCTTACCCACCCCACTTCACCTCGTTTCATCCTACACCACCTCACCACACTTCATCATACACCATTCTCTCTCCATCCCATTCCTCCTCACTGCATTCTAAACCACATCTCGCCTGACCCCACCCTACTCCTTTACTAACCAACTCACACCACTCCAGCACATACTACCTGATTCCTTTCTGTCACACAACACCTCACTCTCCACATCTCTCTCCACAGCATATCCCACTCTACTCCACACACCTCACCACACCACATCCTACATTACTCCAACCCATAGGATCCCATCCTACCTGACATTACCCACTTACCACCTCCCCATTCCTCACCACTTCACCCACTACAACCCATACAATCGTACACCATTCCCCATCACTCCTCACTGCAGTCCACACCTCCCATCCCATCCTATCCCATCCCACTTCACTCCACCTTATCTTGTTCACACCACACTTCAACTCATATTGCTTCACTGCACACCACCTCAATTCACTGACATCACCATATACCCTTGCAACACTACCAGCCTCTCACATAACCTAACCACACCACACCACAACACCACAACACACCACACCACACCACACACCACACACCACACACCACACACCACACCACACCACACCACACCACACCACACCACACCTCACCTCACCTCACCTCACCTCACCTCACCTCACCTCACCTCACCTCACCTCACCTCACCTCACCCTCACCCTCACCCTCACCCTCACCCTCACCCTCACCCTCACCCTCACCCTCACCCTCACCCACACCTCCCCCCCACTACCTCAATTTACTCCTCTCCATCTCATTCTACCCCACGCCACTCCATTCTTCTCCACCTCAGCCTGATACTTCTTCACTCCAAACCACTGCATCCTAAACCCTCGCCGTATCACACATGAACCCATCTCGCCCATCCCACTCCACTTCATTTCATCCTACACCACACAACCCCATTCCACCTCATTTCATCTTACACCCCACCACCCCATTTCACCTCTGATCCTACACCACCTCACCCCGCCCCACTCCACTCCATCCAGCCAATCATTTTGGGTGGGGGGCATCAAAGATTTTTGTTAAGAAATAAATATACTTGTTATTATATAGCATATTATTTTTGTAATATATTCAGGATACTATACAATATTCTTTTTTAAAATTATTACATAATTCTAACATAAATATTTAAATCAAATTTGCCAAATAAAGAAAGGTAACAAACAGATATTTTTATTTTTCCTCCACTTTTCCCATTTTAATGTATTTTCTCTAGGCCTCTTGAGGAGGGCGTGACCCCCACTCCACTTGATACTACACCACCTCACTCCACCCCATACCACTCCATCATCTTGCCCAATTCCCCACTCAGTGTCACCCTAATATCCTGCAATCCTAGATGCATTGTAAAGTGGATTAAACAGAAAATTTTACAGGAACACATGTTTTATCTTTCTGAGAATTAATTTTGTGAAGTTCTTTGTCAGAGGTTACATATACAAAGGGATAGAAACCTGAAATCCAATTTTTGTATTTCTAACTTTGTGGTGATGGCCAAATAGTAGCTGTACATTGAAATAATTGAACATTTCTTTCTTGTAATATAATATTATCTTTCCAAATTATTTAGTTACTCAGAATTGTATGTTCCTATTCTATCATTTTCTCTTTTTGTGTGAAATCGTGTATCACTATTAGTATTTAGTATTCTCAATATGACACTTACAAACTCTTACATGGCTAATTTTTTTTCCCCCTCAGAAATCTTCTGGAAGTGAAATTGTTAGAAGAAAAACACAGAGAAGAACTTCATCTGTGTAACTTGCAAGTTGCCCATGCAACACAGAAAATAAACCAACTACAAGATCAGCTACAGACCTACAGTAATCGCAAAGTTGAAATTGTTGAGAAATTACATACTGTCATGGAAACACAATGGCAGGAAGCATTGCGCATCATAAGTGGTAATAGTCCACTCACTCAGTCTTTTCAAGAACAGCAGCATGAAGTATTGGTAGGTTCATTGAAGTAGTATTTTTTTTTTCTTCTAATGTATTTAAAAAAAATACATTATTGGCAATGTTTGCATATCATGATATGGTAATGCATTGAAGATTCCACCATAGTCTAACGTTATTCATCTGCTAAATAGTGTTTGATGACAGCCACTTGCACCTGTGTGTAAACAAATACTAGAAGTCGAACTGCTGCGCAGTAGACAATTGCTTCGCTTCCAAGTTTGAAGGCCTCCACCCAATGGGCAACAGCCTGATAGTGCAATGCCTTATCACCCAATGCTTCTCTTGGCATGACACTCACAGCATTTATGCCACAAAGAAATGCAATTCTTGCCTATGCTTGCTGTTCAACTTTTGTGATATCCATCTTAGAACACAGTCTTTAGTATACCAACGTTTGCATGTGTTGTCCACTAGACACCAATGCGCTCAGACGTCATCTGGTGGTCGCATCCCATACTGAGTACTACTTGTTTTCAAATGTATATAGTGCAATAACCACACATGCAGCTATTCGGAATATATAAAATAATTGCCATGACTTCTGAAATGACTTTTAGTTATTTCCATTAAAATATCTCTTGTAGACTTAGAGGAGATACGATGAAGCTGGTGAAAGAAAGAACAAGGACAGGACTAATAATGATAATATATACTCACATACCTCTATAAGTACAATCCGTGATCTATATTTGTGTTTAATTATAATGTTGTTACTATATTTAAGTGAATTATATAACTTTATAACACCATTGTAAGATATGTGTATACCTGCTTGTTACTGCCACCATTAATAAATAAATAAACAAATTAGTAATCTTCATTTATAAAACTACTGAACTTAGTTTATGAGAAATTAAAGTCTGTTATTCTGAAAAAAATTCTGAAAACAATTTTACTTTGTAGAGTAATGTTTATTTTTTGTAGATTTGATCTTTTCTTTAAACAAATATTTCTTCAAAATAATATCCAATGTTGCTGAAATCTCACAAAGGTGTATTACCAAGATTTTTTTTTTTTTTTAATATATATATTTTTAATTGGAGAAGAATGACACACAGTTTTAACATTTGCCCTTATCCACTCAATTTTTCATTCATGTTTTAATATTTCATCATAACCTTTTTCAGAGAAAGAATATTTCTGAGAGTATTCCAGATAAGGATCTGAAACGTTCAACTAGTGGGCATTGTACTGCTGTGCCTCCTTTACTTGTACCTCACAGTAGCAGTTCTTCAACAACCGATGATGTGCCATTCAATAAGGAAGATCAGCTTACTTACCGAGCTAGCAGTGAGCACCCATTGAAATATGAAGGTGACATTAAATCTGAAAATCCTGACGTTGTTAAGAAATATATTGAAATGGTATGTTAATTCTCATTACAAATTTCAGTACATTTATTTGCTAATGTGAGTTGGTGTGGACCTCTGCATGGAGGTTAAAATCCATTTATTATTTCCTTTGTAATTTTACCAACAAAAAAAGGGAATATATTATGAAATATTGGCTCACAAATAATCATACAAATTATTTATTATATATTTATTCTTACTGAATGGAATAAAGAAGTGCTTATATTAGTATGTATTGTACATATAAAAATATTTGTAATTAATTTTTTCTACTTGTACATTAACTTTTTCTTAAAATTTATTGCTCTCTTCTTTCCTCTACACTCTCATCTACTTTATCAATACCAGCTTGAAATCTTAAATAGCTTCTTTCAAAGTAGCTTTTTTTTCATCTTGTCGTTATTATACCTATCCTGTATCTTTTTGTTTTTAATGATAAGAACATTACTTTTTCCTGTAGTTATTGAATCGTCCTCCTGGTGATCCATTGGAACCTGAGATGTCATGTGAAAGAAGTGGCATTGAAGAGACATCCCTAACTGAAGAAAATACATTACCAAAATGGGGAAATATTATGGTATCCATTTATAAAATATTTTTTGACTTGATATGATGACTTTACATGATGACTACTATTAATACCTGTATAATTTTCAGGAAAGGCAACAAATGTTATCTAATGCTAGACAGATACTGCCATTTTCTTCGGAGGAGACTAAATGCATGCATTCCTTGTGCAGCAATAAATTTACTAAGCCAGGCAAACCTCCTTGGAAATGACTAAAAGGTAGTATTGATGTGTTGAATATTCTGTAACTTGATGAATTACAAAATATGTTGAACATATTAATTGGTTCAGTGAAGCTGTCTCGAAGAATAATCTAAAGGTGGACTTGGTGTTTGTGAAAATGAGGTTTCATAATTTCTCAGTTTTGTAATGAAACAATGTAATTTTAATGAACTAAAGCAGGATATCTATTAACAGAAAATATTTCTATTACAAGATAGTTATCAGAGTTGCATGAAATGCAAAACCCTTACTTGTAATATATGCATTTATTTTTTCCAATATCTAACCATTAACTTCTGAGTAAAAGCAAAAGTTATTGTAATGTAATGAGAACTGAAATGTATTTTGGATGTATATAATTCCTTATGTATTTTGTGTTGCAAAGTGTATCATGTGTATATGTATATTTGTGTAAGTTCGTGCCAACTGTCATCATATGAATACGAGTAGAAACAATCAAGTGTATAAACAAGTATTGGATGTAATTAAATTATTAATATTTATGTTTACATAAATAGTGAAGTTTGTAATTGGAATTCAGGGAATACATGTGGACCATTCATAAATACATATGAGTATATAGCTGGTAAAGAGACTGTGTTTGGATGTGAATTTGTCTATAGTAGTGGTATTTCCAAGTAAAAAAATATAAAATGTTCCAAATTTGAGATCATTTAGTAAACTGATAACTCCCCTGCCATTTAACATTTCATGGTATGATTCACAGATTATTTTCCATCATTCTCTCTTCCCTGAATAGCAGAAAAGAAATTCATGTCATAGAATGAAAAGTCATTACAACATTAAATGTCTCTATCAGAATACCTCTGTTACTTTAGAACTAGAAGAAAAATATTCAAAAGAAATAAAAACAAACCAAGGAGTTTGCCGCAGATGCAGCCTTTCCCCAACATTGTTCAACATATACTTGGATGATGTCATTCGAGAATGGAAGAACCAGCCTAGGAATTAAGTTTAAAAATGGAGTGTAGTTAAATACACTCCTATTTGCTGATGATCAATTTATAATCCAAGTCAGGTTGACTTACGGAGATTCATCAATTAAAACAAACTTGCAAAGGATATAATATAAAAATTCAAAAACGAAGACTAAACCAATGGTATTTGTGGGAAAACATCCTATACACACCAAAACAATTTTGGAAAATTCAGTGCTGGAACAAATACGCCATTTTAAATATTTGGGCAATGACATAACTTTCTTCACAGAAATGGATATAGATGAAAAAATTCACAAATACCAGAATATATGCAGAAACATTCAGCGAACTCCGTAAGATAAAATACTTTGAAATACTGTAATGATATATAAAGTAATGACTGTCCCGTCTCTGTTGTTCAGAAGTGATGCTCAATTCTTGGAGAGAAAGATAAACAGGTGTTACATTCTGCTGAAATGAAATTCTTGCGATGTGTAAAAAAATGTACCAGACTAGATGAACTCAGAAATGAGAAAATTCAAAAAGAATTAAACGTTCGAGCAATCAATGACTAGGTACTATGTTACAGATAGGAATGGTTACAACATGTGGAAAGAATGGAAGAGACTCGCATTCCAAAGCAGGCATTTAAGTATGAGCCACAAGGCAGAGGAGACCCAGGTAGAATCCTAAAAAGATGGAATTCTTAGAAGCCAGAACAGGTCATAAACCTATCCTTCAAGTGGAGGAGGAGAAGAAGAAGAATGAAAAGTAACAGTAGGTGTAATAGTTAACCATTTAGCAGATTAATCGAAAAGAAATCTTAATGTAATTAAGAAACTTATTTTCTCTGATTGCAACTCACAAAATACTATCAGCTACCAGATCCACCCATTCCATTCTTTTCCTTGAAAATTGCCACCGTTCAACATAATTCTACTATACATAGTAAAAGAGAGAGGCCAGGAATCCTGGAACTGAAGAAAACATGCCACATCATTCTTCCTCCCCGCCCCAGTCTCTTTCTTTGACAAATTAATAAGAAAATAAATAATGCAAAGGTGACAACCATGCAAACCCCACACTTTTTTGTGATCAATGTAATGAATGAAGTAAAACTTGCTTGAATATTCTCTTGAACTAGACACCCACTAACGCCAAAAACCCGTGATCAAAATCTATTCTGGAACAGCTTTCTTGTTGCTTTAGAATAGTCTAGTCTTTTGACACAAAGAGATCTTTTCTCATTCTTCTGCATCATTTTCTCTAAGCCAGAAGCTGTAGATGTTTTCTTTTGTCTTCTTTGTGAGGAACATCTTTTCAAAGTAGATGGCTGTCTCAACACTGTTTTTCTTCACTTATGAGCTTTGACTTGATGATGCTGTCGGGAGTAATAGACCCAGTGCGTTTTGTTGATAATTTTCTGTCATTTTCCCACTAATAACTTTCCTCAACCAGAGAACATATTTGCGGAAGTGCCTGTGCTCGGGGAGGAATTTTGTCATATGGAAGGAACCTGGGCCTTGCTTGAAGTCCTGCCCAAGTTGCAATCTGCGGGATGAGCCTGGCTTTCCATTGTGAGGACTCGGGGCATCAGCTTCCCACTTGCTTCGACTGGTAGCAGAGTTTCCCTACTTGTGCAAGGAGGTGAATGGGAGTGACACCAGTCACCAGCACTGCTCGGTCAGAATTACTTCTGTAGGAGCTAGTAACTCTGCTCCTTTCCTCCATACTTCTCTCGTGCACCATCTGAGATATTCTATTACGAGAGAGTCTGCCCATATCTCTGATCCATACAACATAATAGTGAGTTACAGAGATCAGTAGTCATCGTTTACTGAATTTTGGTCCTCCGATGTCTGCCAAGAGCTTGCTCAGTGCCCGAATCACTTGTGTGACATTATCGACCACCCGTCTGATATTCGTCAAAGATGAATTTGGCATCTAATGTGATGTCAAGATTTTTCACTAACGGTGTGGTATCAAGAACCTTTTTACTTTCTCGCTATGGAGTAGAGAGAAAATTATGTATTTTTGTGTGCAAAAACAGTGAAGTTTTGGCAGAAAAGCTCGTATTGCAGGTAACGAAAAATTGGATAGATCTAGTTGCTAAATTTAGAAAAACCTCCTCTAACATGTGCAATCAGAATCCTTGTTTCGATATGAAAAATCGAATGACGAATAATGTCTGTCTGTTCGTGTGTGAACAGCGCTTGTGGCTAAACCATTCAGCCTATTTTCTCCAAAATTGATATTCCCTAATTAATCTGGTTGATGTTGCGGCCCCAGGAATTTGAAATCAATATTTTAATTTTGGGGGTTACTTTACATGAAGCCCCTGGATGATTTTCAAACAAATGGGCTCATCGTTTTTTATTAAATTTTGTAGGATAGTGTGAAGGACGTTTAAGAGATTGGTGCAAGTCTCATGTTCGTTGAAATTTTTTTTTTAAATTGCAAAAAACCAAATATTTTTGGCGTCTTCCTACAACTACAATTATGAAGATAGAGATTTTTTTCCCTTCATGAAATCTGTTCTTTAAAGATTGATTTTGAAATAAGATAGTGTAAATTTTTTTCAAAATTTGAGTACTTTCCACATAATTTTGCGTGAAAGTATGTGCTTGGGGGAGCTGCTTCTCCGCTCTAGTGAGTCTGAGTCCATGGTCTTCCATCGATACACAAGACTTGGTTGGTTTTCCACTGAGAATTATTGACCTGCATGCGTGTTGCATGCCTGCACAATCACTGCAATGTTGTTGGCAAACCCTGTGAGGGCTGGATCATTTGGGGGTAGAGGGAATTGTAGATTGTAGAGAAACATATCTAAATTTGAAAAATAAGTGGTGGAGTGCTGTCCAATCACATTACTACTGTATTTTCTATAATTTGTAGATATTGTATATATTAGTTGTAGTTTTCTGTTATAACAGTGCTGATGAGGGAGACAGAACAGTCTCTGAAACATCATAACACAAGTGAATAAAATTGTTATGTGAAAAAATAAATAACTTTTAGGCAGTTTTCATTGAGGTTGTCCATAATTTAAAATAAGGGACTAAATAAGTAAATTAGAATAAAGTCTTGTTATTATATTGTATGTTATTTATATACTATAGATATAATACTAAACAGTGTTTTTGTTTAAATAATTACACAATTGGAACATTAAATCAATTTTACCAAATAAAGGAAGGTAAACAAAAACTCTAGGGTTTTTAGGGTCGCATGTCCCCCCCCCCCTCCTGGATCCACCAGGGGCATCTTCTGCCATATTTTGATATAGTTTGGTCCCAGGATTGATCCTTGCACTACTCCTGCTGCAAGGGCTGTCCGCATTGTTATAGTTGAATGGAAGGGCTCAGGATAAGAAGGAGCTATCCCACATTGACGTAGTTCAGAGATATTGAGAGTTTTACCTAAACTTTCCTAATTATTATTATTAACTTGATTGGCCACATTGGACCACGAGTCATTCCACTTCACTTTTTACTGTTCATGGTCGACTGTCGAAGGTGTCACCTTGAGGTGAGGATAAATCCTTGAGTTACAATTCTGAATGTTATTCAGAAAGGTGATAATAAGAGATGGAGGATGATGGAAGATAGGGGGTGAAAGGACGAACACAATACAACCATGCCCGAGGCGGGACTCGAACCCGCGATCTTTCGGTACGAGATCGCTACGGCACTACTGCCTTAGCGATCTCGGCCACCGGATCGGCTAAACTTTCCTAATATAACTGAATACATTTTTAAACTTTTAAACGCAGTACACTTGCAAATAAGTTCATACTGGATTTAAATAAAATTTGAAGTTGTATATAATGTTAATAACTCAAAATTTCACAAAAAAGTGGGATAGCCCCTTGTGCTACTAAGCTCTTCAATTTCCTCTCTCTCAAGTAGTCACCGAGGATTCATAGCATGTAGCGTGAAATCTTAAAGGTTTTCTCCAAGGCCATTAAAATATGACTACCTTGCCAAGTTAAAAGCTTTATGCACATGTAGCAAGGCTAACAACATTAGTTTGTGGGAGTGGTGGTTCTAGTGCAGCTTTCTTCAACACTCCCTTTTCTTCGTCTTCTGTTGATCGACCAATCCTGAAGCAGTTTCCTGGGCTGTGGAGCTGACAGGATCCTCTGGGGTGATGGCTGCCTTTTCTTTAATACTAATAATAATTATTGAGTCACATATACAATTACAATAATGTATGACAAGTCAATATGATATCTTGGGGGTGGAGAGAGTGTGTGTGTGTGTGTGGGGGGGGAGTGAAATTACATTACTGTCCAGAAGCAAAACAAGGGGCCATCTCAGCATTTGCTCAAAGGACCAGTGAATCTGGACAAGAAAACTGATCAAAATGGGGTTATTGGCCTAGGATACATACTATAATACTTGTCACAGATAGACTACGATGATATACAGTAGATAATTATTTTTAGTAGCTAACTTATTTGATATTTCAAGATTTTTACTGTTTCATGTTTAAAGTAAAAGTAAAATTTACTTCTTATTGTCATTTTACTCCTATTGCATATAATAATAATAATAATAGTATATGATATCAAGTATGGTAACAGCTGCATATAATTTAACAATATTAGTACATTCTATGTTCAATTCTCTTTTTTTCTTCTTCCATAAATGGCAGTGGAAGTATGTTAAGTTTTTTGAATTGAGGTCTTCAGGACTGTTCTTTTTGTATTCATTATTGTCCAGATGATTCTCTTTTGTATTTTGAATTCTTTGCCACATCCTTGAAGTGCACTGTTCGAATTGTTTCAATGGTGCTGTTTCCTTTTATTATTCAAAGAGCATGATTAAGTTTGCTCAATTTTGAATGAATATTTTCTGTGTGAGTTCCATTTGAGATTGAATTTGTTTTCTGAGCATGTGTGATGCTATTGCCTTTAAATGTTAAATTTTGTGAGTATTGTTGTGTTGAGTGAGAGTTGTGAAAGGTCACTACGTATTGTCTCTGTTTAGGGTTAGTTTGTTTTCTCTTTCTTTCTTGTGGGCTTGCCGAAGAGAATATTTGGGCGTTCTTGCCCTGACATTTTCAGGTCTTGTGTTATTGGGATGTCATCAGGTTCTGGAGTATTCGTGGTTTACAGGCAAGACCATGTAGCTATCCCTTGGATTTATGAAATAGAGGTCTCTCAGTGCTGAGATTCGCTCCAGTCAATCGCCCTTCTTAATATTTCCTTCACCTCATGTTGGGTGGGCAGTAGGCCAGTTCTCAGAATCTAATGTGAACATTTTCATCAAGAACAAAAAAAAAGGAAAACTCCTTAATTTTTGTTTTCCTATCATTGATTTGAGGGTGATTGGTCAGACACTAATTTTCCTGTCTCACCTATTGCTTACACAGCATAGAAAAAAGTACTGTAATGCTGCAGAGAAAACAGATTTTTTTTTAGAAAAACTATTATTCTGGGCCCTAAGAACAAAAATGTGGCCAAGAATTGTTCCCTTGTAGTAAATTACTTCCTCTAAGATGTGTGTGGTTAGAATCTACGTTTGGTGAATTCTCGGTCAGAAAAATCAATCGATGGCAAAATCTCTGTCTATCAGTCCATGAACAGTGCTAATGCTTAAACTGAAAATATGATTTTCACCTAAACCAGGCATGGATCCACAGGGAGGGAAATTTCCTCCCTAAAACTTTTTTATCTGTATCTATTAATTTTAACTTGTCACAAAACTTTCTATCAAAAACTTTTTCAGATAATCATTAAAAAGGAATAAAATTGTTTTGCAGTATTAGCTGAGTGTAGTCTGCAACATTTTACAAAATCTGTAATGGCACAAACATTTTTAATTTCTCCTCCGAAAATTTGTCTATGGATCCACCCCTGCCTAAACTGATGTCCCTCTGTCGGTCTGACTGATGTTGGGGTCCCTTGAATTTGAAACAGATAGGTGGGAGAAGTTCTAAATTTTCTCAACATCTTTCTACAACTACAATAATGAAGATAGATATTTCTTTACCTTAATGAAATCTGTTAATCAAAAACAGATCTTCAAACAAGGTCATGTTAAAGTTTTCGAAAATATAAGAAAATTTTGCACGAGTCACAGGCAATGTTTAAAAAAATTATTTTTCTAATTTCAGCCATAAATTTTTGTTTTTATTTATTTAATTTTTTACCCTCGTATGTAGCAAATAACAGTAAAGAAAGTGATGCTGGTCTCATATTCAGGGTATTTCCAAAAATTTCAAACACTAAATTAACATTGCAAAATTTCAATAATGATTACAGACATTTTTTGAAACTAGAATCTTCTATAAAATCAGTTCTTAAAAAAAAAAATCACAACTTTTGACATTGCAAATTCAAATTTCCCGCACTTTTTAATAAAATCTTTCAGTAGTTATTTAATTAGTAAAAGAATTATGTATTTATCAGGAGTTATGTAACATTTCATGTGGTGTTGCCATTCGATCGGGACACTGCGATATGGCAGTTTGAAATTTTCAAAATAATTTCCCATTGTTAGTTGGTGATATGGACGGGATAGGATAAGGAGGCTTTATTTACTTAATGTTAATGTTGTAATTTTTCCACATGTGTCAAGAATCTGCAGAGGATATAATTTTAAGCTTTTAAAAAAAAATTAAGATCAAACAATTTTTTATTTTTAAATAACATCCTAACTATTAAGATTTTGAAAAATCTTTTGTGATATCATTTGAAATCCTTGTATTAAAACTAATTACTCCATCAAGAGTAAACACCTTAGTTTAAATAGTAAAGGTGCACAAAAGGTCTAAAAAATATAACAAATATATTTTGAAATTTCTTACATTTTAATGGAGTTTTCACTGTATTATTAAGCATAAATTGCCACCAAAAAATTGACAGAAGCCAAAATTATAGGATCAGTGAAACTATTGCTTCAAAATCTTTTCATTTACAGACTTACCAGCTCAGTTAAACAACAAAAGCAGATAAATTTTATTGTAAAAATGGAACAAATTAATTGTACAGCATTTCTATTTGTAACAAGCATTGTAAATCAGCCCCTGGGTTGATGCCCATCTCTATCAGGTTATCTGATTTCTCTCAATTCTTTAAGCAAATGCTGAGATGGCCCTTTGCTTTACTTCTAGGCATTTTCATGAGCTCCCACTTCACTAAACATAAGAGGAACAGGAGTATAGTTATTTTGACAGCATTATCTTCAAATTAATTCTTTAACTCTTTCGCCAATAAAAACTATTACATCCAAGGGAGTTTTATTATAAAATACTATTTTAAAAAAAAGCTCAAGAAAGACAACACAATTCTATTTCTCCATTTTAAACTTTTTTTAATAAGAAGGTAAATAAATAAACTACAATTTTCAGTGTTGGCTAAATTTTCCCCAGCCCTAAAGAACCTATCCAGATTTTATAAAATATAAAAATCATTTAAATGTTGTAGAGATTTTTAAAAATTATTTGAAATAAAAACAAAACAAAACTTAAATTTCATTTATCAAAATTATTACAACAAACAAACGCAAGTACAAAATAAACGTAGTTATGTGCAAAATTATTTTACAACTTCCTTATGCTACTTGTTACAAGTTTGGTTTTTTATTACCCAAACAGAATACTATTAGTAAAAAATTGTATTACTATGATTGTATGACTTTGAAATCAGTTTTTGGATGCCCTTTACTTGGCAGTACTGAGTTTTACAACTATATTTTGAATAACGGAAATCAGTATTTTATTTCTGACAATTTAAGAAATAATATTCCCCCAAAATACCTACTGAATTATCTTCTCTTTTTTTTTCCCTCCCTCTCTCTTTTCTTTCTCATGTTTCATCCTTGTCCTTCCATCTAAGTTGTCACCATCTTAGGACTCATTCTAAATTAACTAACACTTCAATTTTTGTTAAATTCAGAAAATACCAATGCATTTAGAGGAAACAATCTTGAACTTTATCGAGAAAGGGAAATGTGGTTGGTTTATAC